CACCACACGTACCTTTGGTATCGCCAGCGACACAGACCCACTCACCCAACGTAGCACGAGTCTTGGTCCGGATTGGCGACAGACTCGCCGTTGAGGATAACACTATGAATAATACTGTAGATATTATATAATTCGTATAACATAGTTTATAGTTAATTTCATATAATTTGCGTAACTCTACTGTGAAAAGCTCGTCACACTCCTTTAATAAAAAATAATAAGGATTTTCAATTATAGTAAGTATTTCGTTAATATGACAAATCAAATAAAGCAATAAATACATCATACATACAGTAACTGTGTATCTAAAACTTCTTGTTGAATATCATATAAGTCAATAACGAAATTATTTGAGGTGATTTCTGGAGGAACTACTACAGTATAGCCAACAACATTTGGAGTTCCTGCAACAATTGGTGGGTCCCAGAAAACATTTGATACTGGGATATTAACTTGATAGGCAAGAATGTTTGGACCTGTGCAACCAGTAGGGTTATTGCTATTAAATTGTAGAGTGCCGAAATCCCACTATAATACTGTATTGTGAGGAATATACTTTTAATCCCTGAACATCAAATTACGAATATTAAATCTTACTTCTTGGACAAATACTCCTGTTAGTCCTGCTACTGGTGTACTACCCGGTGGTGCTGATGTTTGGCGTGTCCATAGCCTGGCCTAATTTAGAGAAAAAACCCAGAACAAAACCATACTGTATAATAACGAAACAGGGTAGCAGACATACAGTACATACCGTCATTGACCGATGAACTTGTCTACTTATAGCTCTTATGTTATGAATTTTAACGCCAAATACACAACGTACATATTGTTCGTGCATCCAATTCGTGCATTTTTCATTCCAGAGAGTGGTGCTTTGGAATGTAGCTATCTCACAGAATATTCTCGCATGGGGGTTTCCCTATGTGAACGTCTAGAACTAAGAAAATATCCAAGGTAAAGATGATAATAATACAAATCTAATTACTTCTAAGTCACTGGGGGGGAGGCCCAGGGTACGGAAGAGTAGGTTTCGGAATATGTGCCAGACCTGGATAGATTGTAACGCCTGATGCTATTTTTTTCCCGATAGTAGTTGGATCATAATGGTCTATAGGACAAACTTGGATTATTATTATAAGCCAAAGATCTAGCAGGCTAAATGGAAATCTATTACATGGTTGACCAAGAACCTTTATCGGGCCACGTTTCACACCATTATTTGGTTCTTTAAAACAATCTTGAAGATATGATACAACAGCTTCATGAACAAGGTAGGCCATATCAACAGTGTATACGTCGCTGTTATCCCAATGAAATTTGTATCCACTTGATTCGTTGTGATCAAGAAAAGTGTTATAATCTTTCACCGAAACTTTCGACCCAATCTGAAAGGGCAAACTGCGAACCATACAAGTTAAATCTAAGGAAAGCTATGTGGGAACACTTACTTTTCTCCTCTTAAGGAAAATTTTGGTAACTTTGGATAGCTATTCATTGTTTTATTAACTTTATGTTCTTCTTTACGACTGATTGCCAAGAATCCCTTTTAGAAGAGTAGAAAGTCGAGTACACAATGTATAATGATCAGATTAATACGTAAAATCTTGCTTTTTATCATCCCATCATCTGTCACGATACTGTATTACGCAATTAAAAGGTCATGTGTCATTGTAGAGAAACACTTGAATTTTATTTTTCCCGATTTGGATATGTCAAGCGGATTAATCGTGCCAGCGCAAAAGAATAAATCATAGTTCGAAGGTTTTTCTTTGCAAAAACTATCACTAGAGTTTGGTTTTAATAAGCTTTTAAACATATTCGCATCTTGTATAAACAATACCAGACACACAATCAAAAATCGATTCGCTGAAAGAATTAAACTCAAGGTTCTTGGTTGAGATTTCTGGTCTTAGAAAGGAGAATGCTGAGGTTAAGGCCGAGGTTATAAAATTAAAACAAGTTATAAAGGCAAATGCTGAGCTCAAGACCAGATTCAAAGAGCTAGAAAATAAAACATACACCAGTAATTTCATTGCAGAAAATGCTGTGTTCAAAGACAAGGCAGACACAAAATTATAGCGTACACGTGATAGAAGATTTTATTCTTCACGAAGCATCATCTGATATTTCTTCCAATGTTTGTACATACTCCTCTGAGCCTAATCGTCATAAGAAACCGATGAGTTTCCGGATTGAAAAGTAAAGGAAAAGTTAGTGGCAAGATAAAGCAACGCAACAGGGGGAAGAAGCTTCAAGATCAGGGCCTATCTTTGGTCATAAGAAAAAGGGAACAGATAACTCTGACAAGAATTGTTTAATATTTCTTTAGTGCCGAGTTCAAAAACTCTAAATCAAAAATTATAAACCAGGACGGATCGAAATTTCCAAGACGGCCTGTCTTCTATCACTCGATAATTAATATTGAGCCTTAGCATCACGCTTCTTGCTATGGATGTAGAAAGTATTTCCTCTAGTTTGTGGATCAGTATCGTATTTATTAAATTCAGCACCTTGACCGTCGGGATTACGTTTACTACAAGACTAAAAGTGAAGGATTGGAGTCTGTACCTCTACCGAAGACATATTTGCAAGATGCACTAGCTGAAAGAAGGATTATAGTAAAAAAGAAGATTTTCATTTTTAGAAGACGAGGATGATGTCAAGGAGGTACGAGGTTTAGACTCCAAAGATGAGAATGGTATGAAAATTCGGAAATTATGAGTCTATACATGTTCTTGATTGGTGGAAAATTTTTTGTACATTATAAAAAAGTAATTAATTCTATTAACAATGGTCAATTTTCTATCTTTGTGGTCATTTGCATTGTGTATATGCATATTCACCTAGTATACAATTATCTTCATTTTTATAAACAGTTTACAGAACCATTCGAATGTAATAAAATTTCTTCTTAATGGTTTAGATATTTAATCAATTTTGGAAGACAGTGCCAGAATTAAATGCATATACAATGTGAATGATAACGCTACATTATTATAAGTGTAGAGTGTATATAGTAAAGCTACTGTATTTCGTGACTTTTAGTTTTACTTTTAAAATGAGTATTTATTTAAATTATTTTTTATCGCGATTTTTCATCTGCCTATTGACTAAGTTGACAAAGAATTACTTGTTATTTCAGAAATTCTATTCATTACTAACATGCTAAAGCTATTAATAAATATTAATACTTAATGATAACATTTTTACATTATGACTTTTTGAACCAATAATTTGTTTTCTCCTTGTCTTGAAAGTTTTAATTACATCCCGATAACATCTCTCCACGGTTATTATACCTATCCTGAACTAATAAGGCCAAACTTAGTTATTTTTTGCATTGTACTGAGTAAAATATAGAAAGTAAGGTGAGTCTTAGAGGCGTAATGATTTGGTCCGAAATTTACAATATCTAATAAAATCGCATAAAATTCTTTATTCATAAACACGTCATGACAAACTATCACATGCTCAGAAATTCGCATAAAAACGGTTTCTCACTAACTTTTGTACTAGCACAAACCATTAACTTCCACTTTATTTGATTCAATATTTATACATGTCTTTAAATTAAATAGACGAAATAAATAAATAAATAAAATATACTTTATGATTGAGAAAGGCTATATATAAAAAAACAAATTAATTCTCAAGATAAACGCTATCTTCGGAATGCATGCTATAAATGCCATCATCTACTGAAGCGTCGGTGTTTTAGTTGTTTCTGGTATCGTTGAAATACTTTACAGACACCTATCAATTTTATAATACCTTTAGACTATTGTATGCATTGATATTTCCACCTTCAGATGATTTCTGGTAAAAATAAATTGCTTTCTCACGGTTTCGAGTGGTTCCGATTCCGTTTAGATAACAACGTCCAAGATTATATTGACCACTGGTATTTCCACCTTCGGCTGATTTTTGGTACCAGTGAAATGCTTTCTTTCGGTCTTTATTTGTCCCAATTCCATTTTCATAACAATCTCCAAGATTATTCTGTCCTGTTGTATTTCCACCTTCGGCCGATTTTTGGTACCAATAAAATGCATTCTCGTGGTTTTGAGTGGTTCCCGTTCCATTTTCATAACAAAATGCAAGAAAATTTTGACCATCCATATTTCCACCTTCGGCCGATTTTTTGTACCAATAAAATGCTTCCCCTTCGTCTTTCTTTGTCCCAGTTCCATTTTCATAACAATCTCCAAGATTATTCTGTCCTGTGGTATTTCCACCTTCGGCCGATTTTTGGTACCAATAAAATGCTTTCTTGTTGCTTTGAGTGGTTCCAGTTCCATTTTCATAGCAAATTGCAAGATTATTTTGTCCTGTGGTATTGCCATTTTCGGCCGATTTTTGGTGCCAATAAAAAGCTTTCTCGTGGTTTTGCGTGGTTCCAGTTCCATTTTGATAACAAAGTGCAAGAGAATTCTGCCCATCGATATTTCCACCTTCAGCCAATTCTTGGTACAAATAAAATGCTTTTTTATCATCTTTCTTAGTCCCAATTCCATTTTCATAGCAATTTCCAAGATTATACTTTCCACGAATATATCCACCCTCGGCTGATTTTTGGTACCAATAGAATGCTTTCTCGCAGTTTTGAGTAATCCCAATTCCGTTTTGATAACAATGCCCGAGGTTATTCTGTCCAGTGATGTTTCCACCTTCGGCCGATTTTTGGTACCAATAAAACGCCTTCTCGTGGTCTTGAGTGGTTCCCGTTCCATTTTCATAACAAAATGCAAGAAAATTCTGTCCACAAATATCTCCGCCTTCGGCCGATTTTTGAAACCAATAAAAAGCTTTTTCATAGTCTTGAGCAATCCCGGTTCCTTCTCTATAACATCTCCCAAGACTTAATTGCCCATTAGGATTTCCACTTTTAGCAGATTTTTGAAGCCATTCAAATGCTTTTTCGTAGTCTTGAATAGTCCCGATTCCATTTTCGTAACACGCTCCAAGCCTATCTTGTCCATTGGTACTTCCATTTATTGCTGATTTCAGATACCAGTGAAATGCTTTCTCGTAGTCTTGAGTGGTTCCAATTCCTTCCTCGTAACAATAACCGAGTATGTTCTGATCCCAAGCATTTCCGCTTTCTGCTGATTCAACGTATAAGGAAAACTTTAAGGGATCCTAAAATAAATCAATTGGAAAATTGTATCATAACCATAAATAATAATAGCTAGCCAAGTTATATGCTGTAAATTAAGTATTTCAAAGTAAAAAGTGCACTTACCGTTTCTATAATTTTAATCAATTAATACAAAACAGTATTAAAAATCATATCATAATGTTTACAGAAAAAAATAAATCGAATAAACTTACTATCCAAATAATCATATTCATTTCCCCACATTATTACTCGATTACGACGATATTTTTTCACCCTATACATAGCTTCGTCAGCATTTTTAAGCAAGTCGTTAAAAGTTTCCACAAACGAGTTTATTCCAGATACTCCGATGCTAAGTGTAATAGGCAATTTCTTTCCTTCATAACTAAATGGATGAGATTCGACAGAAGCTCGAATTTTCTCGGCACGTTCGAATGCCGAATCAACGTTAGTGTTTTTAAGTAGAATAGTAAGTTCTTCTCCACCATATCGTGCAAAAATATCTTCAGGATGAATAAAAGTTTTGATGAATTTAGCTAATTCTATCAAAACAAAGTCTCCGGCCTCGTGGCTATTATCATCGTTAATTATTTTAAAATGATCTATATCAAGAAACAATAAACTCAAACATTGCTTTTTTTCTTTTGCATTTTTAAATTCATCTTCCAAGCTTTTTAGTAAAAAAGCCTTGTTGTAAATCGGTAAAAGTTTATCAATGCGATTTTCATATTCTCCGGCAGGAAGATATTGAAAGCTACAACGTCCCATTCCAATTACGTCCTCCTTTTCTAAAGTACGGCTTGTACGGAATGTAAGCTTCTCACCATTTAAATAAATTCCCGATTCAGAGCCTAAATCGAAGATGTCAACTTTTCCTTGAAAATTTTTAATGCATGCATGTTGCTTAGAAATTTCTTGATCTCTTACAATAATATCATTTGAATTATTTCTTCCTATAAATGTTTCACCTAGAGGAAGGAAAAAGTATTTATTTTGAGGTGAGCCTTTGATAATTGTTAGACAAGCATCGTTTTTTGATGCAAAGCTATTATTCTTCCGAGAAGAGACTTCAGGGGTATAATCCCAAACTTGATACACATGATCAATATCAACACTTTCGAGACAGTCAATAACCTCTTCGATTGATGGACGTTTTTTGGGATCATCGTCCCATACGTTATTATAAAGCTCAATGTAATCTATCGGTGTTAAATTTGCAGGGGTTTCTCTCTCTCCTAAAATAACCGTCTCTTTTAGTTTTTCTCCTCTTAATTCGGGCTTATTAAGAAAAGGCGTTCTACTACTTGATATTTCCCATAATATCCACCCTAAACTGTAAATATCCGATGGCTTATCATATTCATAATTAAGCGTATTGTCAAAAAGCTTTGGGTCCACATAAGCAATATCTTCAGAATCTGGTTTTTTATTAACGATTTGGCGTGCCGAGTTCTTTAAAGTTGCAGATGATCCAAACCCTACGATGACCATTCTACCGTTGTGCTCTAATATGTTCTTTGGGTTCTTTTATTAAAAGTCATAAATCAATAATATAGTTCTACTAGTAAAGATTGATTAATTATATTGAACTCGATATACTGACCATTTCACAATGTAAAATATTCGCATTATGAATGTACTTCAAGCCGTTTGCAATATCCATGGCCATTTTTATCTTAAGAGGCCAGCCTTTTTTCATAACTTTTTCATTTTTCAAATGTTCTCTAAGATTTTTACCATTGCAATATTGAATCACTATAGAGTAATTATTCTTTTGAGGTTCTAATATAAAAAAGGTAGTAGCCATATTAATTACTGTCCGTACAGATAAAATAAATATACTTTATACAATACCTTTGGTAACGCCAAGGAGACTAACAGTATTTTTATTAATATCAATTTTTTTCAAATTTATTATCTAATATTCATAAATTAAATATACAGTATATTAACAAAAAAACTCGAAGTTGTATCTTTACAAATCGAAGTAACATTAAATAAATTATATATGAAAAATACATATATATATAGGCACCTCTCTTTTAAGCCTTTTATAATATTCATCATAATCATTTACTCTTGGAATTTTAATTACAACATTTGCTTTTCTCTTTTCCTGGTATGCACGTTTGACCATGCTCATTTCATCACAGATGACTTCTATATTTTGGAATTCGCTGTAATCAAACTCGTTTAACAGGCCATCGTCAATATAACCCTTAATAGATTCCATGGTTATTTGGAAAGTATCTGAGATCAAGCATATACACATACTGTATATATACTGTATATATTTATTTGATACTGATCAATGGTTTATTTGGCAGCACAGTAGCCAAATACAGTATCAAAGTAACCTACGTAACGTTACCAGACGCATACGATATGCATGACATTTTTTTATTACGTCTCTTGTATCGAATACGTATAAAGTGTTTGCTTAGTTGAAGATGATTTTATAGTG